CCTCGAAAACCGGGGGGGGTCACTACGGGTTCGAACCTCCCCCCCCTCCCCTCGAAAACCGAGGGGGGGTGCGGACAGTGCTGGGGACGGTGGTGGTGGGGACAGTGGTGAGGGGACAGCGGGACTGGTGGGGACAGTGGGACAGTGGTGGCGACGGTAGTGGTGGGGACAGTGGTGAGGACAATGGTGGGAACAGAGGGGACAGTGGACAGTGGTGGGGACGGTGGTGGTGGGGACAGTGGTGTGGGGACAGTGGGAATGAGGTGGAAACAGTGGGGCAGTGGAGGGTACAGTGGTGGTGGGGACAGTGGTGAAGGCGGTGGCGAGGACGGCGGTGGGACAATGGGACAGAGGTACAATGGGGACAGTGGTGGGGACAGTCGGGACAGTGGTGGGAACAGTGGGACAGCTCAGCGGGACAGCGGAGGAGTCAGTGGGAAAGTGGGGACAGTGGGGATAGTCGGGCAGTGGTTGGGGACGTGGAGAAAGTGGGGAGAGTGGAACCGTGGTGGGAACAGTGCTGGGGACAGTGGGGACAGTGCGACAGTGGTGGTGAGGACAGTGGTGCTGGGAACAACAGTGGGGGATGTGATGCGGACGGTGGGAGGGACTGGGAGTCGTTTGCTGGCGGTGAGTGGGGAGGGTGGGGAGGGGTTCGAACCGGTAGTGACCCCCCCTCCGGTTTTCGAGAAGGGGGGGGTTTCGAACAGGTAGTGACCCCCCCGGTTTTCGAGGGGGAGGGGGGGGGGAGGGGTTGAGAACGGGGGATTGTGGGGGTCCTCGCCTTTCGAGGGGTGTTTTCGTATGGTTTTCTTCCTTTCCTCCTCCTCCTCTTTCTTTTCGTTTTCTTCCTCCTCCTCCCCTTATTCCTCTTCATGCTCGTTCTCCCTATCCTGCTCCTCAACTCCCTCCCCTCCTTCTACTCCTCCTCCTCCCTCTCCCTCCTTCCATTTTTTGTTTTGCGTGTTCCCCCCCCAAAAAAAAAACGAAGGCCACCCCGTTTTTTTTTGGGGGGGGGAGGAGGCACGAAAAATCCTCTTCCTCCTCCCCCTCCTCCTCCTCATCCTCCTCCTCTCCTCCTCCACCTCCACCCCTCCTCCTCCTCCCTCCTCTCCCCCTCCCCTTTTTAATTCTGCTACCTCTCTGCTTTTTTTTTCCAGGCGCCCCCCCCAGACAAAAAAAATCTAAAAAAAAACATCAGTTTTTTTTTTTTTTTTCTTCTGGGGGGGGGGGGCGCCAGGAGAAAAAAAATGGAATGTGACGTGACCACATCTGCCCTCCCCCCTAGAAGGATTCCTATTGGACGCCCCCATAAGAAGGATTCACAGTAAAATCCTCGACAGAAGGGTTCCTATCGAAACCCTCCACTGAATGATTCCTACCGAAATCCTCCACATGTGGATTCCTACTGAAACCCTCCACTGAGTGATTCCTACTGAAATCCTCGAATGGCAATGGCAATGGCAATGACAATGGTAATGGTAATGGTAATGGTAATGGTACTGGTAATGGTACTGGTAATGGTTACGGTAATGATAGTGGTAACGGGGTAGCGAGGCAATGACAATGGCAATGGCAACGGTAATGGTAATGGTAATGGCAATGGCAATGGCAATGGGAATGGCAATGACAATGGCAATGGCAATGGTAATGGTCATGGCAATGGTAATGGTAAGGGTAGAGGTAAAGGTAGAGTTAATGGTAATGGTAATGGTAATGGTAACGGTAATGGTAATGGTAATGGTAATGGTAACGGTAATGGTAATGGTAATGGTAATGGTACTGGCAACGGCAGTGGTAATGGTAATGGTAATGGTAATGGTAATGGGAATGGAAGTGGGAAGGGGAACGGGAACGAGAATGGAAATGATAGTGGTAGTGGTAATGGTAATTGCATTGGTAATGGTAATGGTAATGGTTATGGAAATTGTAATACTATTGGGAATGGGAATGACAATGGAAATTCTAATGGTAATGGCAGCGGTAGTATCATGGTAATGGGAATGGGAGTGGAAATGGTACTGGCAATGGTAATGGTAGTGACGAATGGCAATGGGAATGGTGATGGTAATGGTAATGGTAATGACAGAAGTAATGGTAATGGTACTGGTAATGGTAATGGTAAGGGGGTAGCGATTGTAATGGTAATGGTAATGGTAATGACAATGGCAATGAGATTGGCAATGGCAATGGCAATGACAATGATAATGGCCATGGCAATGGCAACGGCAATGGTAAGTGTAATGATAATGGCAATGGTAATGGGAATGGGAACGGGAATGGGAATGTGAATGGGAATAGGAACGGGAACGGGAATGGAAATGGTAGTGGTAGTGGTAACGGAAATGGGAATGATAAGGGTAAGGGTAAAGGTAAAGGTAGAGGTAAAGGTAATGGTAATGGAAATGATAGTGATATTGGTAATGATAATGGTAATGGTAATGGTCATGAGAATGGGAATGGCAATGGAAATGGTACTGGCAATGGCAATGGTAGTGGC